TTGACGCAACGGCTTTGGCCTTGTGTCGTTTCGATATGTATATTGTAAGGTATGAATTTTTTAAAATCGTGTTGTAGTCCGTTTTTGCTAAAATCACTATAATTCGTGTATTGTCCCAAAAATTCGGATTTTCAGATATGTGGTTAAATTTCTGATATATTACTTGTAGTTAAAATTTGAGATTTTTATATGGCCTGTAGCCTCGTCAAAACGCGAAAACCGTTTTTGGACTGTTTCTTAATAAATTCATATAAAATCGAGTTCTTGTCCGAATTGGCTAAATTTTAGAAATGTTGCTATTTTATATGATATCTTGCTTCTGTAAAAAGTTTTAAGTTAAATTTGTACTATAGCTATTTTAAATGATTTAATTAGTTTTCTGATCAGATTTTGCGTAAATTATTAAAAATAGTTAGGAGCATGTTTAAGGGTTTTTCTTTAGTGAAAATATGTGTTTTTTTAAGTCTTTTATATGTTCTAAAAATTTGAATTAGAAAGTCCAAGCCAACCTCTTATGATCATATTCTTATAATTTTGAACTAGTCATTTTTAACCGTTTTTGGCACCGGTTGGCTACGATGGCAAACTTTTGACCTGTTGACCCCGTTTTTATGTCAAACCTTCATTGTCTGTTGTTATATGATTTAATAATTGGTTGGTCAAGTCTAGTAGTCGTCCTAATGTTCCAACTCCACAACTTCCACGAGCTTCTTAGTCGATGTGATTCGACTTAGTATAATTCTCGTTATCTGTGTAAGAGTCGAGATAGTTGCTTATGAGACTGTCTTGACTTATGTAGGTGTTTGACGAGCAGTGTCGTAACCACCTACGATTTTCTGGTTATATTGCTTTATCATCCGACACCAGGTGGGTTTTGAAAAATTGCCTATGCTGTAAATGTTATTACTGTTATTATTGTTTTACTTGTAGTATGATCAAAGTATGCATGTGGAACATGTAGCCTTCTATGTGAGCTGTATCAGCTGTCGAATGATTATCCCCGTAACTATAGAACGACCCCAATGGGGTAATCTCCTCTTTATGTCCTTGTGAAGGACACGTCGCTTGAGACTAGGGCTGTGCTCGATCAGTGATAAGTACCCCGATGTAAGTCCTATGGCGAGTCCGGGCCTTCGGGGGAGACTCCTATTGGCTGGACACTCGTTGTAAGACCAGAAGGCCGGGGGCCGTGGCTTTCGATATATAGTCGACAGTAGTCTATTGATATAGGTGTGCACATGAGAACGAACTTAGGATAGGAGGTTGAGATAACTATTTATTTATGTATACATGCTGAGACCATACTTTTGATTATTGATCATTATTTATTATTGAGATTAACATTTATTGCATAGCGGTGAGCACTATTGTTTCCTTTTGTGCTCATCCCCACCTGCTCTTTACGGATGCAGGTTAATATTTGCGGGCACGACGGAGGGATGCGAGTAGTGGTCTGATTAAATGTCATTGCTTCTGCCTTGTTTTGAATATTGCTATTTACTGCTTTATTTATTTCGAACATTGATTATGATGGGGAGTGTTCTCCCTAGTATTTATGAATTTGAGAAACCCAGTTTTGGGGATTTATGTTTGATGAACCCGGTTTGGGTGTTGACATGATTATTGAACCCGTTTGGGAGTTGCAATTATGTTATTGTTGAAAATGGTTTTGAAATGAGTAGCGCCTCAAGTGTTTTTTAAATAATTTTTGAAAAATTTATTCTGAAATTTGGCAAATAAAAGTGGGGCGTTACAATATGGTATCAGAGCCAGTCTGCGTTTTTGTAGACTGGTTAATGTGAACTAATTGATTATGTGATTTGACCTTAAGTTATGACCACTCGCTCTCGTCGTGCCGCGCCAGCTCAGGTATGCGTACCTTATTGATTTATAGATAATTTTGCAATAATTGATTTTTGATATAAATTCGGGGCTTAGGAATTTATCATCCTGCTTTTAAACATTCTTGAACTCTAGTCGAGTGGTGAACTTAGTTGTATGAACTTGAACTCTAGCGGTATAGAGTTAAGTTCCGGCTTGAGAATTTGTTGTTTGGAAATTCGATATGATTGAGTTAAATTCATATTATAGCAGTGCTCTCGCTATAAAACTTGGTGTCTTCAAGTGAGGAACATTCGCAATGCCATCTCGAAAGGAGAAGGCTTAAATGAAGGGAGAGACGACCGAAGGAGTACGAGTTATTTGGGTATTCGGGAGTCTATAACCGTGGTCGATAGGACCATTAGATTCATGATTTGAATCTAGTCAAAGGCGACGATGATCTATTCTTTTGCGAGAATTTCCTTCATATATTAAGCTGCGAGCGATTTCCTTGCAGCAGCAGGACTTACCGAGAACAGCTTGAACCGATGAAGGAGGCGGTGAATTGTAGACTCGTGGGTGCGAGGCAACCTTGTTATTTTACGAACTCTTGTCTTCTTGTAGACTTTTGCAAACCCTTGCCATTTTGTATGATAATTTGAATTGTGCTTGAAGCTTCTTTCGTAAGCCAATTTTCGTGTTTCGATCCTCCTGGCGTAAAACTTCATATGGAGAGATTTGACTCATATCAATGAGTGTTTCTTCCACCTTAACAGATTATGCAAAAATCTTTTAAGGAGGATAGTCGAGTCCAGAGCAAGCACGTCGTGAGGTGCGGAACCTTCTTAGTTTTGAATTATGTTCATCGTAGTCTTCAGAAATTTCTGTTCTTTTACTTCTTTCGGAGTGAGGGAACTGATTGTGTCGACCGACGCTGATAGTCAGAAAAATCAAGGCGAGCCAGTTATTGTATCTCTCGGTAAGAGCTGTTGATTTGGGATTATTCCCGACTGAGTAACCGTGTTAGAATCTCTTTGAGAATTCTCGTCAATCTCAATCATTGATCTCTTCGCGTATTCCCGACTGAGTAACGGTGGACTTGGAGCTCGAACATGCCCTTGCTATCTTTGAGAATTTTGAAACCTTTGAAATTGTGAAACGACTGAAATTATATTATACCCAAAATTCTCGTTAAATTGTAAAAACCATTTCTTTGTGGTGATCTGATATTGTAACCTTCTTGTGAAACCTTGAACCGAACGCCGGCCCTGGTTGGGTGTAGCCACGCGAAGTGATGGTCATGCATGCACGACCATGCTGAGAGACGTGAGGCTTGCGCGCGGCCGACTGTTGACTCGCATGCGAACTGCAGCCGCCATCACCGTACACGAACTCCCCAGGCCAATGTATATGGCCAACCATCGATGTTTTTCCTGAACTGTTGAAACCGTTTCATACTGGAATACTTGGTATCCTTTTGAACCCCTTTCGTTCGAACCTTGAACCGAGAGCTCCGAGTCTCACTAAATGTGTGTAAATCCTTAATCGATGATTTCGGATTGAGGAGTGTAGCCAAAGAGTCCTATGCCTTATTTGAGAGTCCCTCGAGTGGGCAGATTGGGAATGTCGATTGCTATTGGTCAATTCTTGTGACTGCATATAAGGGTTGCGTTCGACTCGTGGAGTCGATATCGTGTGGGTATGAGCATTTGTGGTGTGTTGTATACCGTGTCATAGTCTCTGATGGACACACTCGGTCCGTGATAAATCGTGAGCAAGTAATCAGTATGACTCGGGCACGAGACTGAAACTTGGCGTCACGCGTCCACCTTGTTGGTGAGGTAGTCGGAGTATGCTGTCAATATATCGAACGACCTGTTGAGGTCTTGTGTGTTGTTTGGTACAGAATTAATTGTTGACACTCATGGGTATAGGCCAAGCCGGACTGAGTCCCTTGCAAGAGGATGTGCGCTGAGCTCGGGTAAGATTGATCACCCTCCCATACAATAAGGCAAACATATGAGCATAGGGTGAGTCGGATTAAGTCCTGTATGTGAGTATAGGCTTTTCGAGTATAGGGCGATAGGACTCATCCGAGCGAGATCGGATTTCGGAGGAGGTACCCGGTCCTCATGTTTGAAAATTTCTGCTCAAGTCTGTCGTTTCCCTTTTGGATGCGTGTTCTTAGTATTTCCGAGGACGGAAATATTTTTAGGAGGATAGACTGTAATGCCCCGTTTGTTTGTAAAATAATTGAGAATTATTTAAATTATTATTTGATATGGGATATTATATACACAAGGCTAAACCGGTCTGCTTGGTCGGTCGAGAAGGTTAAACCAAGAGGGAGCTAAGCCAAAAGGTGGGAAGATCGAACATTCAGTTAATCGACCAGACAGATGGTCGACCAACCCATTGCTCGACCAGATACATGATCGAGCAACCTCAACAGGTCGATCGCTTCGAGGAACCAACAGTCGGTCTAGTTATGAGCGCGTGTATCACAGGCACGCGTAAGAGCCTCTAACTGAATCTCAGAAGGATATTTACCCCATGTGCTAGGGGACGCATGTCGATAATGTATTGGGTGATAGCGGTAACCACCTCTGACAGCTCCCAACGCCCCGAACTACCTCTGACATGTGTGCGGCGTGTCAGAGTACGGACGGGCAGCTTGGGCAGCCAGCTCACCTTATCCGGGCAGCTATTAGGGCAGGTATTTCACCCCTATATAAAGAGGGTGAGCCTTTCTCCCTTAATTCATTCTATTTTTCCATACTTCACTTCAGTATACTTATACACATATTGACTTAAGCATCGGAGGCTCTTCACCGGACACAACCCCCGATGTGAGAGTTATTTGCAGGTTTCCGACGTTCTACCGGCGAGGACAAGAATCGATCTATCCCGAACCGGACCAGGACGCTTACACTTGCATTATTGGCGCCGTCTGTGGGGACAATTTCGTTAAAAGGTTGTGTTTGAAGCTCAGCTATGGCGGACGGAATTCCTAAAAACTTGCAGTCAACGTTCGATGAAGCTTGGACGACGACCAGGCCGTTGGGGCACGGCCCTCCTCCGGGATTTTCTGGCCCATCGCAGACGCCGATCACTCTAACGCCTATCCTTCAAGGTGTGGGAGTGACGACGGCGATCCCCAGAGGAGATGCTGGCTCCAGCCGGGCCCAGGAGGCTCGCGCAGCAGCTGCGGTGGCGATGCCACCGCCACCGCCACCAAATCCAACGATGGTGCAAGGAGGAGCGATGGCGCAGGGAGGAGCGCCACCACTGGCCACGACACAAGCTCCCGGTCAACAGATTGTGGCGATGACCAGGGAGGAGATGCAGAAGATAGCGGCAGCCGCGGCGGCGTAGGCGGTGCAACAAGTTGCGAGCCACACATCTCATGCCACGACTGCGACGACCACGGTGGTAGGAAGCCAAGACGAGGATGTGTCCAGTTATGGAGAAGGAGGAGTTGGAAGAGATCAGGCGATGGAGAGGATGACGGAGCAGTTACGCCTATTGCAGGACAAGGTGGAAGGGAGACCGGAAAGGAGAGCTCGAGGACACCCCTTTTCAAGGGAGATTCTCGCTGCTCCTCTGTCGAATAATTTCAAGGAGACCAACTTGGTGTGTGATGGGTCATCTGACCCGTCGAGGCATGTGAGGACCTTTGAAAATATGGTTGTGTTGCATGGATACTCTGATTCTGTTTGTTGCAGGGCATTTTTCTCGACCTTGCGCGGAGGAGCACTCGATTGGTTTCACCAACTTCCCCCCGGGTTGATTGCGGATTTTTAGGATTTTGCCGGCAAACTTACCAATCAATATTCGAGCGCGGTGGCACAGGAGAAGACGTATTTGACCCTGATGGCGATTAGGCAAGGGGAAAAGGAATCGTTGAGAAAGTACGTGGCTCGGTATATTCAGACGTGTTTACAGGTGCACTCAGCTTCAGATGAGGTGAAGGCAGGAGGATTGATAAGGAGTCTTCGAGCGGGGCCTTGTCGGACTTCTTTGGCAAAGACCCCTACTCGATCATATGAGGATGTTCTGAAGCGGTGCAGGAAGTATATTAATTTGGAAGAGATGGAGATGGAGTTTGCAAAGCTGGAAGGAGTGGCTCGACCAGAGCCCAAAAAGGAGAAATGTCCACAGAGGGGGAGTTCGCCGAGGAGGAATTCGCCCAAACGGAGTGGGCAGAAGAGGGCATCACCCCGAAGAGAGAGTCGAGACTCGAAAAGGGAGAAGAGATGTAAGTGGCAGAGGAGGCCGATGTTGTTCGAGAGACAGAGATACCACACTTTTACGCCCTTGAGGAAAGACATGAAGGAGGTCCTCGAGGCCATGGAGCAGAAGATGCCGAGTGAGGATGTGACTTGGCCGAAGACGAGGTTTACAGGCCCTATTCGACCTAGGTCGGATATTTACTGTCGCTTTCACCGATATTATGGTCACACCATGGAGAATTGCATACATTTGAAAGATGAGATCGAGAGGCTGATTCGAGCGGGATATTTGAAGGAATTTGTGTATCACGACATGGTGAAAGGGAAAGGAAGGAGAAGGTGTAGGGAGGACTCGGAAGAAAGGAGTGATAGAGATGAGGAGGGAGATGGCGGAGATGGTCAAGACGGTCGAGGAAAGAGGCCAAGGAGAGATGGCGATAAAGGAGGGCATGGAGGAGAAGCCTCGATGAAGAGAGGGACGATTTACATGATTTCCGGCGGGCCAACGGATGGAGACTCGAATAGGGCCAGGAAGGAGCATGCACGAGATGTGAAGAGGAAGAGAGAGGAGGTGGGGATTACGGCTCGTATGCCCGTCATAAGTTTTAAGGCGGAGGATGCCGAGGGAGTGGTCCTACCGCACAACGATGCTTTGGTGATAACCGCGGAGGTTGCAGGCTTCGATGTGAAAAGGGTGTTTATTGACACCGGAAGTTCGGTGGACGTGATGTTTTATGACTGTTTTGTGCAAATTAACAAGGAGTTGAATACGGAGTTAAAACCGGTGACCACGGCACTATATGGCTTTAATGGATGGGAGGTGATGCCGATGGGAGGTGATGCTCATGGTGAGGTTTGTGGTCGTAGGGGCTGAATCATCTTATAACATCATTATGGGGCGGACGAGCTTGAACGCGTTCCAGGCGGTCGTATCCACGTACCACATGACGATTAAATATCTGGTGGGAGAAAATGTAGGAGAGGACCAGCTCACTTCGAGGAGCTACTACCAAACGACGGTTAACAATAATAAGCAGCTGGCGAGGAGGCAGACCCAGTCAGAGGAGGAGAAGATTAATCGGCCAGGTGGGTCGAGGTCGAAAGAGGATAAGCAAATAATGGAGAAGGGCAAGGAGAAGATGGATATTCAGCTAGGGGGAGAGGTGGAAGAGATTCAGATGATCGAGGGTGTGTGTGGAGAGGAAGTTCAGAATTGGGAAAGACTTGGAGGAGCCTATCCGGTCGAGGCTTATTGATCTGGTCAGGGAGTTCGTGGACATTTTTGCCTACACTGCGGAGGAGTTGACGGGGATAAGTGCGGAAGTGATCGAACACCGGCTGAACATCGACCTCAGTGTGAGGCCGGTGAAGCAAAAAAGAAGACACCATGGGGCCGAGATGGACAAAATCATTGAGAAGGAGGTCGAGAAGCTATTGGGAGCAGGGCATATCAAGAAAATCCAGTTCCCCGAATGGTTGTCAAATACGGTGATGGTGTCGAAGGCGGAAGGAAAATGGCGGATGTGCATTGATTTCCGTGACCTGAACAAAGCGTGCCCAAAGGATCTATACCCGCTGCCCAGAATCGACCAGCTGGTCGACTCAACGGCAGGGTGCGAATTGCTGAGCCTGATGGATGCCTCCCAGGGATATCATCAAATTCCCTTGGCAAGAGAAGACAGAAAACGGGTGAGTTTTGTAACAAATCGAGGGACCTATTGTTACGTGGTCATGCCGTTCGGTCTAAAGAATGCGGGTGCCACATATCAAAGGTTGGTTGATAAAATTTTCAAGGAGCAACTGGGGAGGAACATGGAGGTATATGTGGATGATATGTTGGTGAAAAGCAAGGAGGAGTTGGATCATGTGCGAGACTTGAGAGAAACGTTCCTAACATTGCGGAGATATGGGATGAAATTGAATCCTACTAAGTGCTCTTTTGGGGTGAGATCGGGGAAGTTCTTGGGTTACTTGGTGACCAAGAGAGGTATTGAAGTGAATCCTGAGAAGGTTCGAGCCGTAATGGAAATGAAGCCGCCGACGAATGTTAAAGAAGTACAGATCTTAGCTGGTCGAATTGCGGGGCTGAGCCATTTTATATCGAAGGTGGCGGAGAAGAGTGGTCCATTATTTAAAATATTGAAGAAGAGTGAAAAATTCTAATGGACGGAGGAGGCGCAGAGGGCCTTCGAGGAGTTGCGGGGGGTGTTAGCCAACCTTTCCTTATTGGCTAAACCCATACAGGGTGAGGAGTTGGTGCTATACATTTCTATAGGAGAGAGGGCGGTGAGCTCGGTGTTGTTGCGGGAGGAAGGAGTAGCGCAATTTCCTATCTATTACGTGAGTAGGGTGATGCAGGGGGCAGAGACGAGATACTCGGAGATTGAGAAGTGCACATTGGCCGTGGTCGTAACGGCTCGAAAGTTGAGACCTTATTTCTTGAACCATAAAGTGAGAGTATGGACAAACATGCCGTTGGGAGAAACGCTTGGCTGACCATCGATCTCTGGTCGATTGGTGAAATGGGCGGTCGAGTTGAGTGAGTATTCTTTATTATATGAGCCGAGGAGGGCCATAAAGGTGCAGGTGTTGGCTGATTTTATCCAGGAGGGCACGAAAGTCGAGGAGGAGTCAGGAGGGTTATGGCAACTATTTATGGATGGATCTGTGGCGCGAAGCGGGGCAGGATTGGGAATTGTCCTTCTTTCTCCTAAAGGCGATTACTTGGAATTTGCAGCTAAAGTGGGGTTCAAAGTATCCAACAATGAGGCCGAATATGAAGCAGTAATCAAAGGCCTGAGTTTAGCCAAGGCGGGAGGAGCTCGAAAAGTACAAGTGCATTCTTATTCTCAACTGGTGGTTGGGCAGTTTCAGGAGGGATTTGAAGTCAAGGAGGACCGGATGCAAAAGTATGTAGATGAGATGAGGAAGTTGAAGGAGGATTTCGATTCATTCGAGCTGATACAAATTCCTCGAGGAGAAAATGATCGGGCGGACCTATTATCGAAAGTCGCTCAGAGCTTGGTGGACTGCAAGAGCAGAAGTGTCACTTTATTGCATCTTGAAAGAAGTATGGTCGAAGCAGAAGTGGCGGAGATCGAAGAAGTGCAAGATTGGAGGGCCCCAATCTCGGGGGAGCTGAAAGAAGGAACGATAAAAGTGGTAAGGAGGTTTTTTGAGCATGGAGGCATTCTTTACAAACGGTCGTATGGGGGGACCCATTTGCGGTGTGTTACTAAGGAAGAAGGTCGATATGTGCTGAGAGAGATGCACGAAGGATGCTGCGGTGATCATAGCAAGTCAGGGGCTTTGGTCGCAAGGATTTTAAGGGCGGGATATTTTTGGCCAACGATGAGGGAAGATGCGAAAGCGATGGTGAAGAAATGTTTGCAATGCAAGAAACATGGCCCCCTTATCCATCAGCCGGCAGAAGCAATGACAACGATGAGTGCCCCTATACCATTCGCCCAGTGGGGTATCGACCTGGTGGGGCCGATGCCTCAGGGAACTGGGCAGAGGAAGTTCTTAATAGCGGCAGTCGATTATTTCACAAAATGGGTGGAAGCCGAACCCTTGGTAAAAATAACGGAGGAGAAAGTAATTAAATTTCTATACGATAACATCTGTTGTCGGTTTGGTGTACCCAAAGTGTTGATCTCCGACAACGGCACTCAATTCAATGGTAAGCGGATTCGAGCGTGGTATGAAGACATGAAAATCGAGCAACACTTTGCCTCCGTTGCTCATCCGCAAGCCAATGGCCAGGTCGAGGTAACCAACCGAATTATACTGAGTGGGTTGAAAACAAAGTTGGAGAAGGCCTCGGGAGCATGGGTCGATGAACTGAGCTCTGTACTTTGGGCATATCGCACAACCCCGAGATCGACGACAGGAGAAACCCCGTTCAGCTTAGCTTATGGAATGGAAGCGTTGCTGCCGGTCGAGGTCGAGTTATCATCCCAGAGGTCGAGCACGTATGATGCTGAACAGAACGAGGAGCTGATGATGACGGCCTTAGATACTATCGAGGAGCTGCGCGGAAAAACAACAATCAGGGTGGAGGCGTACAAGCAAAGGATGCGAGCTGCTCACGACAAAAAGGTGAAGATTCGCAGACTCCAAGTAGGCGACCTGGTTTGGAAGCGTGTCGATGTGCTCAAGCATGTGGGAAAGCTGGAGCCGAATTGGGAAGGGCCATACCTGGTCGAGCGAGTGCACGCATGAGGAGCGTACTTGCTGAAAGATGCTGAGGGCCGATCGCTTGCCAGGTCATGGAACATAGCTAATTTGAAAAAATATTATGTGTGAAATTTTCGTTTCTTTTAAAAAGAAAGTTGAGAAATTCGAACGAAGATGTAAATTGCAAAGTTTGCCCAAGAAACAATGAAGTTCAATGATTTTTCTGATTTTATTCGCTTTATTGTACACTTTCTTATGCTTGGAATGTTG